AATCTAATCTCAGGGGGGACAGCCCATCACATCTGTTGTATTTGAATGGTCACATAAAGCAATCGGTTACCACAAATCCCAAGTATGTAAAATGATAAAGCCCAATAAACACTTGCTAGACTCGACTGAACCAACTGGTGGCGGACAATCTGATTGAGGTATCATTGTCCAAGAATTTGAGGGGTGACTGGTTAGGTTACCCAAGTTCAATTGTCAGGTTGCCCCATACCTGAGTAGGGTTCAGCAATCGTATGTTACGTGGTGGTAACCAAGCGATGGAGGAAAAAAAATATGACCATATTTGAACTAAACATAGTAGGTTTACATACCAGGTTACTAAATGTGACTGTAGTCACATGAATGACTAATAGCAATATGTAAGTCACACAGATGTTCTCTTGCTTAACCACCAACCCTCCTTATTTAAAATTAGTCAACTCTCTCACCTATGAGTGGCTAGAAGCCAGATCTCAGCCTGACATGGTTCTATCTTTGTTTTGTACTTGTTCCGTCTACCACTGTCCCCACCTCTTACATCCCACAACTGTCTTGGCTGGTCTTTGCCTCCTGAAATAACTGTCTTTCAAGGTACACTGGGTACAGGGGCACCGCAGCCATGTATTTACTTAAGGCTCTTTCCTCCTGTTCCTATCTTTCTACCCCACAATGCATGTTCTAGTCACGTAAAAGATACTCAGAGGTCTTCAAACACACAGTCCGGTTTCACGTTTCTGTGTCTTGACACCTGCTGTCCTTCTTCCAGGAGTGCCATTCCTGGGTCCTTTTCTGCCTAGCAAACTTTGCACCTTTCAGATCTCTGCTCATGTACTGCTTCTTCTGGTGGAATTTCCTTGACTTTCCAGGGTCTGCCTTGTCCTGTGTCACACAAGGGAAGAGTTAACCACTCTCTTTTCTGGATTACTATTGGAACTTATTTCAATTTCTGAACCACCCTTCATTCCTTAAGGGTATGCTTTTTACATGTCTTCCCAAACAAACTGTGAACTCTTTGAAGGCAGCTTGTGCTTTTTACTCCCAACAGCCTCAGTGCGAAGACTATAGTCAATTTTCAATAAACATTTCGACAAAGGAACTGGGGAACTGAGAAAATGCGTATCTGGACATTGCAATGCACTGCGAAGCTAGACACCGCCGGCTCTAATCTATAAAACCCCAATTCCACTTATGTCCTCACTTGACGCACTCCCGGCATCTGTAGGTAGCTCCATTTGCTTTGTGCTAGACTAACTGGTAATCTTTGCTACTTCTTATGAGGGTCTTCGCTTCTGCTTCTCAAGGGATCCCTTTTTTATTGGCCACTTGATAGTCCTCAGGTCATCTAGATTCCAAAGGGGTCATTCTGGTTACACAGAGAGGCCAGGCAGTGTGACGTGGCGATGAAACATGCAGGCTTTGACACAGACAGGGGTTTGTTCAGCGTGTGACACTGCACAAGTGACCCCACCTGTATTGGGTAAAACGGGAGATAATACTCAGTTTGTTTTGAGCTTTACATTGGTAAGGTTCTGGCAGGAAACTGATTTACACCAGACTGTTCAAATAAATGCATTACTTACAGAGGTGGGAGCGAGGATGGGGGAACAAACAAGGGTTGTTGAGGCACCCAGACAGAAGCAATGGTAGGAAGCCATTGCCATCCTGAAGGCTGGAAGGACAAAGGGAGGAATAGTATTTACCTGAGCAACTGAGAACTGGCATGGGGAAGAGGCTCCCCCACCACCGAGGCACTGGTGTCCCCCACCAGTGTGGAGGGACACAGATGGGGATGGTGACAAAGCAAGAAGGGAACGGGGAAGGAATTTATTGGTGTTGCTCCCATCCTGCCCTCCCATTGCCTGCTGGTGTTCCATTGCTTGAACAGAAATGGCAGCGAGGAGGGAAGTGAACCTGAAAGGGGCAGCCTGCAGGGTTCAGCCTCCTGACACAGAGCAGGGCAGGGATAGCTTGAAGAAGGGGTGGAGGGACCAGACTAGCCAGCACAAGAATTAAACGAGGAAATGTATATGGTGCACTTTCCACAGGACCTGGCATGTAGTTAAGTGCTCAAGAAACAGTAGTTGTGGTTATATTATTAGTATTTCAATGGCTGCAGGGTCTGGTTGTACCTGGATGCCATCCCAGCCCCTCTAAGCAAGAGCTACAGGGAAAACTGACTTCGTGGTTGCAAGGCCTTGTTTTAGAAATGCGCTCTCTCTGCTCCGTTCTGTCTCACTGCTGTTTCTTCTAATACCAGGGCTTCAGTGATGCAGCCTGTGTTTGTCAAGCCAGATTGTTTAACCTGTCCCCAGGTCGGAAGTCAGAAAAAATAGTATCTAAGCAAAACTCCTTAAACAGTCCCTCTAGGCACCACAGATCCTCTTCCATACAGTCAAAGGCTCCTCCTCTCCCTCGTATCTAATGAGCTGAGACAAAATGTCCACACTAATGGAAACTGTCTTGCATTCCAACTGCTGCTGCCCTAACATAAAAAGTACACGATGTCTTAAGAGTTTAAAAACGTTTTCTAAAATGCTGTAGGTAAGTCAACACCATTCAGCTTGCTACTTTCTTTCCTCTGCTTTGCTTTCATTCCTGTCACTGGTCCAAGGAGTTAGAAAATCTGATGCTCCCTGCCCGGTTACTGACTTTATTACCGACACTGCCAACACCATTCTCTTCCTTCTCTAGCTTTTCTTCCTCCCACCCCTCCTCAGGTTTCACCTTTCCCATTCTTCACAGCTTTACGCCAGAAGGCTGTCCAGTCAACACTGCCAACCAATTAAACTATTCCTGTCCACGGAGACAAACTGATTGATCAGACAAAATCTTTGGTTCTTTGACTCTTCTTGGCTGCTTGTTTGTTGCTCAGCACCCAAGGTTTGCAGTTTCTACAAGGCTGAATGTGATCACTGACCTCCTTGCATGGTAGTGAAATTTGACTGTGCAGTCTGGTCCAGTCTGTGTGCAGGTAGAAAGTCAGTGAATTGGGTACGGCTTAGAAAAGCAGAGAAGGGTGACTGTAAAGTAGGGTCTAAATGGAAAACTCTCCACTACCCACTGGAGGTAGTAAAGTGAACCAAGATGAAGTACTGTCCTTCTGCAGCTAGGTGCCAAATACTTCCAAATAGCTGCTACAGTTCTTCATGGGCCCTCAAAGAACACTTTTCCCATTGTACGAATTAGGAGCTTCAGGGCAGGGTGTGGGGTGACAAGAGTGGGATGGAGATCACTTAGCTAAGTTTTACTGGGGGACTTGAATTTGCTTGTGTCAAATTCACTCATTTGACAATGGAGTCAAAGGACATAGGAAGCCATTTCCCCTGGGGAGGGGCTAAACCTGTGAAGGGGCCAATTTGTATATTGGCACTTCAATATTTTAACTTAGATCTTTGTAACAAAAAACTAGTTTGTAAAATCTTAACTATAGAACAAAACTATAGCTACAGGAATAAGTTATTTCTCTGTACCTGGATTGAGGTGTTAATTTCTGATGAACAAAGAAGAGGATTTCTTAAAAGTTCACTTTATTTTTCAAGATTATGTTTAGAGAAACATCATGTGTGGCTGCCTCTTGCACACCCCCTACTAGGGACCTGGCCCACAACCCAAGCATGTGCCCTGACTTGTAATCAAACTGGTGACCCTTTGGTTCGCAGGCTGGCACTCAATCTACTGAGCCACACCAGTCAGAGCAGTTTCTTATTTTGTATCTCTAATGTAAAATAATACTGAACATATTTCATTCAATATTATGTTTGATCAAAGAAACAAAACTCAAGGGAAAGGAAAACTCCTTTCCCTTAAAATGAAAATCTTGGATAAACAAGATAAATTTCAAAAATTACTAGAACCCTTTAAAACCAGCTATTTGCATATTTTATGAACCCAATTGACTGAGCTTAAATCCTTAAAATACGTGCAGTGGGTAATCATTCATGGCACATAGTGTATGAATTTCTTCAATATATTCACTTTGAAGGCTTATAATGAGAACGATTTAGAAAAGAATGCTGTATATTGTTAGGATTTGACCCAAGGTGTAAATGTTGTCATAAGGATTGGGCAGAGTTAGCCACATTTTGCTGTGTATAATGTGCTCCTGTGTATAACATGCACCTACATTTTAGTGCTAATTGCCATGTATAATGACTATACATGGGAATTAGTACTGCTCATGTCACGTGCACCTTATTTTCCCCTCAAAGATGTGGGCAAAAAAGTGCCCATGGTACATGTCAAAATACAGTAATAGGATTAAGCTTGACTTTCAAGTCAATTCTGAAAGGAACAAAGGAATGACCTTCTAACAAGTCAGTTCACATGCCATCAAGATGTCATTCACCCAGTTTGTCTAGGACTCAAGCTTTTGAAGATCTAAAAAATCCTTTAAGAAATTTTATTGCATTTTATTGAATGAAAATATACCTGTTTTTAAGAAGGTTCTATCTACTGGATTTTAAAATTAAGTATAATTTACCACGAGAGAAAATCGAATGCATCTTACTATCATTAAAAGCCAACACATACAACTGAATGGTTACCAGAAAGAAATGGGGGTGGGGAGAGGGCAAAGTGGTTAAAGGGGGTCGAATACATGTAAGAGAAGAAAAACTGAAGACTTTGAGTGGTGAGCATGCAATAGTACACAGATGTCAAGTTAAAATCTTGTATGCGAAAATTATACATTACTATTAACCAGTTACCACAATAAATTTAATTTAAAAAACCAACACAGGCCATTTGGAAAGCAGATATGAAATTTTAATTCACTGTGGGTATTTTTCTGACCATTCTCTATATTATGAATTTTTCTTATGTCTTCACAGATACATTTTTTATACGACAGTTTTTCTATCAAGTACTGCGTACCACACCACTATTCAATGCATTTAGCTAGTTAACGGAGTATTATAAATATCATGAGCCATTGGTTAAATATCAATACAGAAGTTCATACGTATGTTAGAAAGTTTAAATTTAAAAAAATTAAGGCTGAACAATGAAAGGTTACACATCTTCTTTAATTCCACGTGACATCACCATGACAACAAATTACAATAAAATTGTAAGTGCTTTCAGATGATAGTACATTCAGATTCCTAACATCCAATTACTTTCATTTCAACAATGTGCACTCTACGCTGCATTTTCATTCTGGAGTTGACAGACCAGCTTTTGGCCTACAGACCAAGTTGCTTGTGTAGTGATAATTACTGTGTTGATCATGACCACAGGAAACTAAATTTATATTTATTGCACTATATACAAATGAAACTTTTAAGTATAATATGGAACTCTTCAGGGTGGTGTTCAAGAGAAATTCAAATGGTAGCCTGAAAATGGGTCTTAATTGCTGCTGCAGCCAATGTTTCATTTTAAAGTCTCTGTCAAAGCATTTAGAAATAAGTATGTAGTACACACAGCCTTTCCCTCTTCGAAAATGCTGCCTAGAAGAAAAGCTCCAAGCTGATGGGGAAAAGAACAACAAAAAAACCCTACAAACAAAAAATTAGGGGGGAAAGATCTCAGAAAACAAACATATGATGTTCTGAGCTACAATCTTCCTGAGTTTGTTTTTCAACTGGAAAAGTTTTTCAGTCAGTTGTTTTAGGGTCCAGTCCATAGGGAGTTCTTGAATATCTAGTTCATATTCTACAGAAATCTGAAAGGACTACTAAACACCCCTTAACTAATTACACAGGGAAAGCTGATCATGTTTTGTATTAAAATCTCTATGAACACACATAGTCATAGTCATTTAACAGCGTTGCTAGAATAAGTAATGAAAATATATGCACAGCTGTACAGAGCTCACCATTAAATACAAGAACAAAACGCCATTTGATGCAAATCAAGAAAGATCCCAAAAAGCCAATCTGAATGTTTATTTTCACTTACTTTGATACAGTAGGAGAAGAGACTGCATGTAATTATGGAGACTGCTGCAAAGAACACTTGATGCTACTAAGTGCTCTATTAAGCACCAGGCATGCAAAATAGTTACCTCTTAAAATTTCTCACATGTATAGCTCAACATTCCTATTTATAAGCTACATTATGTTTAAAGCATTTAGTAATTTTTAAACCAAATATTTTAACTGACCTATGTCTAAGTGGGGAAAAACAAAAACTTCCTCCTTTGTCTTAATACCCAAAGGTAAGGCTTATTCCTCAAATTGGTATTTTAAATTACTTTGTTACCCTTAAAATTCCAAGTGATGAAATTCCTTATCACTATGAAATCAGAAGTATGATGCACCAGCAGCGGTCTACCGCCCACATACTCAGATGCCAAGCCTTCAGGAGTCACGTAAGAATGATGTGCTGGTGGCTAGAGAGACACGACTTCCACATTCCCACCTTTGTATTCTAGATCTTTTTATTTTAAACTAAATAAAGCTTGTCGTTAATACAAACTAAGAACATTTTTTATTTAACATCAATATAAGAGTACATAAAACTAAAAACCTTGTCTTCAAATTTGTAGAATGTTTCAATGACATTAAGTAATCGAATAAAGAAGGGAGTAGTTTGTTTTTCCATTTCAAAAGCATTCCAAATAATCAAACACAAATTCAGATTGCTTGGTTCTTGGTCATTTATGGCTTAAAGTACTGCATTTGAAAATCTCAGGATAAAACAAATTTATATGAATGCGTAGGTTGTATATCTAGGAAATCATGCAATAAATATTCTCATGTACACTGGAATCTTAGTGACAAAATGAGCCTCCAAGTGTAAACAGTAATGTTTCTTTCACCAAGAAAATATGCCCAGCAAGATCCTTGCTTTTGACCTATTCAAGATCCTATCGGCCACCTAGTCAAGAGCCTATTTGCCAAGTCCTGATTTTCTCAGACTGATACAAGAAGCCAATGTCACATGACATCTGCAATAAGGAACTTGCCTTATTTAAAGGACTTGCCTCAAGTGCAGGCACTGTGAGGTCTGAGCCAGGGAGAACACTCTCATTATCCTACCACCTACTGCCAAATCAATTGGATTCTTGACTAGTTGGAAGATCAAATGGGTACATGTGTAGAATGGCCCACTGGCAATGTTTATTATTTTTGTATGTTTTAAAAATCTATCTGTCTTGCCCTGGCCAGTGTGACTCAGTTGGAGCGTTGCACCACTGACCAAAAGGTTGCAGGTTTGATTCCCGGTTTGGGTATGTACCCAGGTTGTGGATTTGATCCCTGGTCCGGGCTCAAGCAAGAAGGCAACCAATCAATGTTCCTGTCTCTCACCTCTCCCCTTCCTCTATCTCTAAAAGCAATGAAAAAAAATGTCCTTGGGTCAGGATAAGAAAAATAATAAAAATAAATAAATTAAAAAAAATTCTATCTGTCCTTTAAATCTATTTCACTTGAGAGTCACCAGGGTAAGATTCATTCACTATTCCTGGTTTTGATATGCCCCTACAACATGAGAATTAAACTGAACTACAATAATTGTAATGTCATCTCTGTACATCCGAGCAAGCTCTTCAGGAAGACTCAGCATTTTGGAGAGGCGCTCGTGATCAACACTCCCAAACTCGTTGTTGCCCACAGCATGGCGGATAAGATGGGTTGCTGCATTCTGATCCTCAAATACTGAGGACATCTTGGCTCTCCTTTCTGTTAACAGGCTATGCATCTGGCCCAGAGTCACCTTGTAGCCACCAACAGCTATTGGCTGTTGGTGGTGCATGCCCGTTAGATACTCACCCACAATCCGAACCACATCCTGCCTATGCATTGTCTCCCACAACCCATCGGTTGCCAACACTAGAAACTTATCCTGTGGCCTTAATCGGTGGTAAGTTACCTCTGGCTCAGCAGTGAGATAGGGAGGTGTATAATAATTAGGAGGGATAAACTTGGTATATTCATTGTCATTCAACTGGTCTGGGCCAGATTCTATCACTCTCTTTTGAAGGTCAATGCTCCATTTGAACTTTACATCTCCAAAAGCCCTAAAAGGCATCAGCAAGCCAAGCAGCCGATCTTGTTTCACCACACTCTTGGCCTCATTCTTAGGATGTTCCAATTTCAGCCGTTCCACTTCCCTTTCATTCTGAGCATTGTGGTCATTAGAGAGAGTGACTGCTGACCAAGACCCATCTTCTTCCTGCACACCCAGCATGGCTCTGCTATCGCCAGTATTGGCCACATGAAGGTCAACACCATCTACATGGGCCACACAAGCGGTGGCCCCAGAAAATGCGACGCGAAGCACCAGGTAGTTGAGGAAAGAATTGGGATCACCAACCTGAGCTTCCAAGGAGATGTCATTATCAAGCCTCTTGAAAGCATTAATTAAAGCCTCCTTAACATCAATATCAGCTGATTCCCCAGTGTTGAGGTCTATAAGCTCTTGCCAGTAAGTCCTCAAGCTGTTGAAGTACAATTTGGATGCTTCCTTACTGAAATAATCATTGGGGTGTTTGTGCCACTGGAGAATGGGTAGCAGTGCCCGACCACTCTCCACGGCATTTTCAATCTCTAGCAAAGTCTCATGGGGTAACAAAGAGACAGCAATATAATAAAAGAGTCTTTCACTGACTGCTTGGGAACAAGCACAGCCTGCATGGCCATCAAAAACCCCCAAAAGCATCCCTCTAGTCTGCAAGCAGGTTGCTGCACTTCTCCGGTCCTCGATGGGTGCATTTGCAGGTAGCTGATTACTGTCAAATCCAAGGACAGAACTGACATTTTTGCCATCAAATTCTGGCACTTTGAAACTGTATTCATTAGCTTTCAGGATGCTGTTGACTTGTGGAGGCGTGAGGTAAAATTTCTGTGGTGTAGAAACATATCTCCTTCCTTGGGTGTACTGCCACCAGTTCTCCTTTGGCCTGGAAAAGGTAGCATATGCTGGATGGGGTGTATACCTCAGACGACTCTGAGAAATGTAAGGGGATGAACAGCAGAGGTGTTTGTGGTGGCAGTAACACGCAGTGCCATAGATTCTGCTCAGTTCACAGTTACGAATCATAGGAAAAAGCATTTGAGTTGGCGCTGGCATGGCATCAGAGAAGAGTGGCAGGCTGGAACTTCGGACTGGGATTCCTACAATGCAAATCACAGAGGTACACACAAAGAAAAAGTTATATTTCAGATTACTTAACCTATCTTTGCTTTTACAGGAAATATTTAACAGCTGACTCTACTTACTAAGCCCTGTGCTAGGAGGCACTCTATTTTATGCTCACATTATGTACTATTGCTACAGGGTATATTCTGCTGAGCACTTCCCAATCCTTTATAGACCCAGGATTGAATGGTAGTTCTCCTTTTCTTTTCTGTTTTCATTATTTCTTTGTGTAGCACAAACTGTGCACAGTGTATAATAGATTTAGCTGGGGAGAGATGAGAAGATGAGTGTTACATAACGTTATATAGTAGCAGTCTACCTGGCCAATCACCCTTCTCCCTCTTATCTTAAAAAAAAAAAAAAAAGCCTTGGATCTCTCATATTGCTGAAGGATTTTTCCCGTTTATGAACATCCTATTTCTAGACTTGTGGTCAATTGGCAGCATTAAATTATACCTGGCTATGACCAAGAAAGTATAAGGATGCATCCCCAACATTAGTATATTCATACACTTAAGTTATATACATATACTGCTATATTAATAATAATGTTCATGATTATACAAAAATTATACATAATGAGTAAGGACAAATGTCAATATTACCTTCCCACACCCCAGTGAACAGTCTTGCAAACAATGTTTCCTAGACCACTGCACCAATCTGGTGAGCTTAGGGACTTAGTTCTTCCACCAACTTGCCAGATTAATCCTGTAAAAGCTGGCTCACCTTCTTGGGTCTTGTTAACCTAAGACGTAATTGAACATACCAGAACAGATTCTAACTAAGGATCACTTTATAAGTGTTGAAGCCAGGCTTTAAAATCAAATGCATGTTTCATTTATTCACTGTTCAATTATACTGTGTCTTTCATGATAAAAAAGTTTAAGATAATTTATGCAAGAAAAATATCTCCCTTCTTCCTCAGTATTTCCCCTGAATTCTTAAGGTATTGCCTCAAAGTATGCATTTGGCCTATAAACAAAATGCTTTAAATAAGGAAATAAAAAACAAACAAAAAAAGGGAATAAAATCAACTTAATCTTAGTATCAGCTATTCCTTCCAAAGGTTAAATCTATTAAGAAAAAAAGAATTACGAATATCACAGAGTGTTAACTATAAATTACATTTTGGTTTTAGTGTCCCTTCTTTTGAGGAGTAGTTAGAGAAAAAGTGGTAAGTGGGTTGGGGGGGGGGGGAAGCAGAGGAAAACAAACACTGAATAAACTGATCCTTATTTGCTTCTGAAATAAGCACCATATAAGCCAGTCATACAAAACCCCTTTTTCGAGGGACAGAAAGTATCATTTTAACTGTACTCTTTAAGTAGGGATTTGTTTATCTAGTTAATGACAAGATTAAGCAATAAAAGGTAATGATTAGAATTTTGGAAATAAGATCAGTAACTAAATAGGCATTCTGAAATGCAGTAATAAAAAATAGAAATGCCACAAGAAGAGTAATCTATCAACACTAACCACTTAAGTAATAGTACTTCAGACTGAATATCTGAAAGTCATCCAGAGGTTAAGTATACATGACTGAGCCAGGAGATGTGCTCAAATGTTGAGCCACATGACACTGTTTTCCAGACAAACCATATCTCCTATTAGGTTTGCACACAAAAAGCACATTAACTCATAGCCTGCTCTGTATAAAGATTTTCTACTATTAAAAATGTAAACAGATGCCAATTTTAATGAAAAGAGAGTTTCTCCATAACTTTATATAAGTTGGTATTTGTGCTTACTTTAAAATTTAAGAATCCTATAGGGAAAAAATGAGTATTTCTGATGGATTGTAGATTGAGTCAAAGTACTATGTGTCTGTCTGTTTTTGGAAAAAAGTTTGATGAATAGGTAACAGGATTTCATTATGAAAGGTGGGGCAAAAGTAAGCAAACAGTTGCTCATATGGAAATAATAACCAGTAATAAACTCTGAAAAAACTGTTTCATATACTCACTGTAAACCTGCTTTTGTCCTACTCTGTAGGATACCTAATCAAGGAATAAGAAGTTCCAGCAAACCTGCACTTTCCTTACATTGCTTTGTCTTGAAAAAATGTATGATTTTTTAGTTGACTGCAAAATGAATGAAATATTGTAAAAGAACTGAGTCATGCAGCAAATGCCCCGACTAATCCAGTACATTCAAACCGCAAGCGATGAAAAGCTCATATAACACATTTTTTTTCTTTGAAGCAAAGGTTCTCAAGATTGAAAACAAAAAAGCAGAGGGTGAATTTTATCAATGGTATCTTTCACTTATTCAGTTTAGCATATGGACTGAGACTGCATCCCAATCCGCCAACTCCCAGCATGCCTTCAAAAGACACATTCTTAAAAACAAAAAAAAGTTATTCTTAGGGAAGTTGAAATTCATGAAAACCCTGCTCTGTAATTAAGTGTCCTGTCATCACTAGTGCAAGTGATAATATATTCTCTCCATCAGACCAGATACCCTTAGAAGTCAAAGTACCTCAAATGTTTTCAGAAACCATAAGTGAGCAAACACTGAGTATCTTTCTAAATATTAAGTAACTCAACAACAACAAAATCCCCATAAAAACAACTTTTGTTGAACTAAACAAACAAAAATAGAAAGCTCTTGATAAGCCAAGAATAGCAACAAGGTACAGTTATTGGTAAACTGGAGCAGTGTCGAATTTTCAAATTATTTCTATGCTTTCACTGAAAAGTTCCTACCTTATGATTCAGACTGAGCGACATTATATGCAGCATCTTCGTCTTAGACTGATTCTGCCAATAACTAATAAGATACACTGCAACCAGAAACTGGAAAGAGACCCATTCTTACTGATGTGCTCAGCACAGCGTATGCCAAAAAATGATTCCACTTCAGTAATCCCACCAAACAAATTAATTAGAAAATGCTGTCATTGCGCCGACTATGGAGCTCTTTACCTTTGCAAGGCTTTTGGTTTAAGTGAAAAAAAGATGCTACACTAGTTATTAAATATGTCAGAACCTCAGTTTATGTAATCCGATTGCATTAAACATCCTGTAAAAAGAATGCGATTTTTCAGTATTTTCTGGAACTGCCCAGCCATTTCACAGCTCCGGTTACTGTTATCTCTCCTAGAATGAAGAAACCAGTTTCCTTCAGAAGACACAAAGCCCCAAGCCAGCACTTGTTTAATTAGCTCCTTTTGTCCCTACCTGAAAATAGCAGTCACCAAAGCATCAAAGCTATCTGGTCCAGGAAACCTTTGTCCTCTCTTCTATCTACCTCGCCCCTTAATTCCACACACGGAATCAGTCACCATCCTTCCTGGGTACCCAACGCAGGTAAAGTGAATACCTACCAATTCGTCTGGGCCCGGGACACACACACATTCTCCTGTCATCACAACACGGAGCCGACAACATCCAACAACCCGCGCGGACAGCAGCAGCGACAGCAGCACCGGCCCATTGAAAGCAAGGCAGAGATGCATATTAGAGGAGGCGGTGGCGGCAGGGGAGGAGGAAGTGGGGGGGGGAGGGGCGGAGGGGCGAGGTCTCGTTCTAGCCTGGTGAAAGGGATGGGCCGGGAAGGGGTGGAAGAGGACGGCTCCAGAAAGGGGTGGGGACAAAAGGGAAACCAATAAACCAACCCACCCCGAGGGAAAAGTAGAGCCACAGCCCAAGACGGCGGGAGCCCAGTCGCGAGCAGAGGTGCGCCCCGGGACCAAGCCCTCCATCCAATCCGGGCGCGGAGTCCACGGGAGCGTTGTATCCTCCGCCCGCTGGCCCCACGCGGCTACGGCTTCGGCTTCGGTCCAGACTACAGAAAGCCCGCGGCGGGCTTCCCGTGGAGTCATCCTGGACCCCGTGGTGTGTGTAAGGGGAAACCCTCGGGCACACGCAACGCATCGCCCGCGAGCACCTTCCTCTAGCTTACCCTTCAGCTAGTCCCCACAGCGTCCCAGTACAAACAGCGGACACGCGCGGCAGCCCCCATCCCAAGTCCGTGGAGCCCCCCAGCGCCGCCACGCCAGCCTGCTCGCCGCTCCACCGCCCCGCGCGCACCTGGCGCTCGGAGGCCTGTCCCTCCCCAGCCTCCCGTCCTCCCACCGCACGCTCGTGGCCGCCGCGCCCCACACACCAGCACCCCCTTCACAACTCGGCGGGTAGAGGATTCAGACGAAGTGGCGGGGCCGGGCTAGGGAATACGAACCGGACAGGGCAAGAGAGCCGCTTCTTCCCGAGGAGACGGCCGCGGCAGCGGCACCATCCGTCGCTCCTTCCACACAGGCGGATGCAACTCTCCTTGGCGTTGCTCCTCGCCTCGGGCAGGCCCACTTTGCGCCCCCACCCCCGCCCCTGCAGCAGCGGGCCACCACCCAGGCCCGCCCCGCCCGCGCGTTCCAGCCGGGAGGCCTCCTAGCTCGCGATTGGCTGCGCAGCGGCGAGTGGGCGGGGACATGGAGAGCGGGACGAGGCGGGCGGGCGAAAAAGCTGCGCGCGCCCAGCCAGCCTTGTGACGTAATGGGGGTCAGACAGGCTTTTCCAATGGGCACTGGCTGCCCATTGGTTGTATCAGCCTGCCTCACGTGACCGCGCCCCGCGTGAGGTGGAAGGTGGGGCGGTGCCAAGCAGGGGTACTGCGAAACGCGGGGCTGGGCGTGGGTGAACGGGTGGGTGGTGGTGACGAAGTTGGCGGTGGGCCGGGAAGAGAGGAAGTACTTGGGCCGGCTCCAGCATCCCCACGCGCGTAGGGCCCAGGGGACCGGCTGCTCCCCGCCAGGGGGGCTTCCGCGAATCCCTCTCACCTCGGCGGGGGACCTGTACTAGGTATGGCCGGCCTGGCGGCCGAGCTTCCCGTGCGCCTCGCTGGTGGGCTCAGGCTTCTTGGGATAGGTAGGGTTCGGGGGCGTCTCCCTGCTTAACAGGGACCTAAAATCCTTGTTGCCCCACCCTGGAATAAAGCACAGTACCCTGAGGGTATCTGTTGCCTCATTCATTTGATACTTTGCAGATTTTAGGAGTTTTCTTGACACCTCTCAAGGGCCCAGGGAGAGGAAACTGGTCTAAATTAAAGCACGGGGAAGTTCCGATGAAGGAATTCTTTCCCATTTTGGGTTGGTGAGTGCTCAGGTTCTGTGAGTGTCTTTGAAATCAGTAGTGTGTCTTTTGCCTTGAATGGTTACAAAGAAGAGGGTAGAATCAGTCTGCACAAGTGGGAAGAACACTCGACTTAAGAGTCAAGAGGACCTTCAAGTTTCGCTTTATGAGACTTAGTTTCCGCTTCGGTTAGGTTAGGTTAGATTAGGTTTGGGGTGGTATTGGCATTCTATAATAGAGGGAAGACATGTCAAGGGCTTCTTCACATGCTTCCTTCCACATAGATCCCCTCTTTAAGGGTAGTGCGTTCTGAAAGCTTACTTGGAGATACCAGGTGGACCATTGCGCTTATCCTGCCTAGTGTTAAACAGTTTACTTTGATTTATTAAGCACATCTATGCACTGGCCAACAAAGTCCACAAAGTGATGTGGACTGGATATAAATACTCATGTTCGCAGTATTGTGGAATTTTATTAATCTTGAATCATGTGGTTTTTATGTAACCAAGGAAGGACCTGATATACAGGAAACAGGGCCAGAAACTGATTCTTTATAACCCACCCACCCCACCCCGGGTCTTTCCAGCTGCCTCCTGTTTTCTCTAAATAAATTAGAGCAAAGCCTTTTTGCCCTTTCCTAGGCTGCCCATGAAGTCTTGTGGCTGCTCTATGTGGCTTTTTGTCCTGGCCTCACTTCAGCCCTTCCTTTCTACTTTCTAAAGGAGCTTCCCATAAATTTGAAGTATTCCTCATTGTCCTTTTTCCTGATTATTTGATTAATCATTGTCCTGATTATTTGATTAATGTATCAGGTTTTCTCTTGTCTCATAGAGGCAGTATTGTGTGGTATAGTGTATTAGAGCACAACTGGAGCCAGACTGCCAGGTTTCCAATCCCACCACCTCTGCAGGTTACTGTTTGGGGTCTTGGGCAACGTCTTTTTGGCTCAGTTCTCTCATATGGAAGAAGATAGGAATAAAAATAGTCATAAAAAGTAAAAAATAATAAAAGATGTCATTAAATTGATGTAAATATATATCATACTAAGAAAATTCAAAGCAGCAGAAGAGCTAGGTATGTAGGGCTCGTATTAATATTATAGACATGTGTCCAGGTTATATGTCTATATATTAGAGACTCTATACATCAGAGTCTTTACATTAAAGACTCCTAGAGAGGAGGAGACCCAAACCCCCCAAATAATGTTCTACAGTTAGATTATGTATTGATAGATGTTATTAATAGACTCTTAGCCCCTACTCCGCAGACATGAAGACCAGTTAGCTGAAGCTAAGAATGCATGTTTATTTTAAGTTTCTTCCTGAGACTCAGAAAGGATATTTATACTAGGTGTGTCTATTGTCTGTAAATGTTTTTCTAATAACTGTGAGAATAGAGTACTGATACTCCAGAAGTCATCTCTTGGCATGGCAAGAGTGGTTCCAGACACCCCTCTCCTCATGGATTCCAAAATCCACAGATGCTCAAGTCCCGTATATGAAATGGCTTTCAACAAGGCGTACAGTCAGCCAATCTATGTCCACAGATTCCCAGCCGCAGATCAAAAGTAACTGTTTTCAATCCACAGTTGGTTGAATCTGAATACAAAACCGGTGGATATGGGAGGGCCGACTGCATCCAAGTTAATAACCTCTTCGAAGTGTATGTCATCTTGGTAGCGTGTACCTACCCTATTTGACACCAACATTGCCATTATTCAGAGCACTTTTAAAATTAACTTCCCAGATTGTTTTTAGATCTGCACAGGAAACTCCAACTTGTTCCACTATAACCAGAGCCTTGGTTTTTATACCAAAATAATTTTGATTTCCCCATCTTGTGATTGTTAGTTCTGAATGACCTGTTTCTGAAAATGTCACCCAATCTCAAATAACTGGTATTTACCACCACTAAATATAGTCAAGAGAATTTGTCATGAGTATCGAAGGCAGTGCCAGGGTATTTCTGGAATCAGAATAAAGGTTCCCCAAAGTAATAGGTTTAAAATACTTATTTAGAGGTGTCAGTTTTTTACACCTGCACACTTGTATGGTTTTGTATATGTATGTTATTTAAAGAGTCCCAGTTACTTCTGTAGAAGAAGTAACTGCTTGTACCACTGAGGGTGAAAGGCATGATTCTTAAGCGTACTCAGCTCGCTCTCCCCTCTGGCCTACCTTTCTTCTTGTCTCATAGAGCTCTGTTTGGCTACTCGGTAGGTTTGCTTTCAAAGTAGTTTGTTATCAACACATGGCTATCTGGCCGGGGCTGTGGTAGGTCCTAGAGTTTGATGCTCCTACCCCACAGACAGTTTTAGCCACCAAAACACCTGTTGATATCTGTTGAAGCTTGGAAGGTGTATGAAGGTAGCACTGAAACAACGCAGGATTGTTGCAGAGAAGGGCAGGCAAGGAGAGAGGAAGGGGCTTCAAAAATAGTACAGAAAAAACACCGTGTAAAAGCACCAGTTTTGTCCACACACATGCTTTCAGTTACAACAAAAATGCAGACAGTTCCTAATTGAGATCCTTAACACTTGGTCATTTTCTTGCCCTGTAATAAACCTGGAAATGAGCAAGTGCTTAACCAGTTTGGCCTGGTGTTCTTGTGGGCAAGTGATAAAACCCTTGGGGTTACTGAAGGTTAGCTGTGGCAACATGGAGATGGCCCAGCAGAGTCTCAGGGGTGCCAGCCAGGAAGCTTTAAAAAGACCTGCACGTGGGTTTGAGGTGCTGTTGCTGGTTAATGACTTAACTGTCACCTTTGCCATAATCAGCAATTAGAGGAAAGAGAGGCTGGCCTACCACACTCCTCTGTAGCTCCTACTTCCCTACAGGTCTTGGATAGGAAATCAACAAGTAATTTCAGAGTACATTAGTGATAGGTACCTGTTTTATTACCATCCCAGTGGTGAGAGTTGCTTCTTTGAAACTTATTTAGAGCGATGCCCTGAGAATGGCAAATCATCCATAGGAAAGAAATAACAGGCACTCTGGCTCATCTCTTGTGGACCAGATGCTGTAGTGAGTGCTTTCACATTTAATATTTCAAAAGCGTTCTGTCCTCATTAGAATTCATAAGACAATAGTATGTTCAAGGGGAACATACTATTGGCTAGTAGGCCAGAAGTTTCTGAGCACTAATTTAACATGACAAAGAAGGTGAAAAGTAAGGATCTGAGGAAGCTGAATTAGAGGGTTAGGTGCTTTTAGTAAGAACTGCAGCAGGTCTCTGGACCTGCAAAGGCTGAATAGTTTGAAAATCTCTGTTAGTGGGGGTATCTCTGGATGCTGAGGATACATGTATGGGGTGGGCGAGGCAGTGGTGGTGTTGCCTAGCCATAGGGCAGTCTGGCAAGATTAATTTTTCTTTCAGTGTAGTTCTTAGACTTCCCCAGAATGCAAAGGGTGAAAGGTAAAAGAAGGACTTAAGGAGAACTGAGATGTTGGGGTGGGTCTAGAACACTTTTTACAATAATTGCCAGGTGACAGGCACCTCTGAATCAGGTTATACCAATCCACAGACTTCAGTAGGAATCCCTATGCAATGACTCAAAAATAGCTGCTGGTTTGACACGTCTTAAAAACTAAAACTCTTTTTGCTTCCCTGTACACTTTCACTACTAGAAGAGTATAGGTTTCTCAAGAGCAGGGACCTTGTCTCTTATGCGCTGTTTAGAAACCCATGGCATATAGTGAACATTAGCAACCCCTGTTCTAAATGCACTGCCTTAGTATATCTTCATATTTGTGAGATGTTATATCCATTTCACAGGAGAGGAAACTGAGTCTTGATGATGGTAATGTGCCTCAGGGTCACACAAGTAGGAAGCAGAAGAACCGTTTACCTGCAGCATTCTGAGTTGCTGTGTTATAGTGACTGCTAATTCCACCTGTTGCATAGTAGGTGCCCAATAAGGAAAGAACAAATTCATTTCAGATGAGGAGGGGGGCCCCGTTGCAACAGGTGCGTGCTTTGGGATAATTAAAGAACTAAACGTTTTTTCACATTTTCGCCTATGCTTTATGGATTTGATAGCAGACTGTATCCTTGGAATGGCAGAATTTTCACCTATGCTTATTATGTCTGTGACCAGCAATGAATTTTTCACAGCTCAGTGTATCACTACTGAATGACCACTGTTGTCAGAGTGCTGCATGGTTTCATTGGTGGTTGTGTTTAATTTTTTAAAATCCTCATCCGAGGATATTCATTGATTTCAGAGAGAGAGGAAGGGAGAAAGAGAGAGAGAGAAACACTGATGTGAAAGAGAAGCATCTTTCAGTTGTCTTTCGTGTGCCCCCACCAGGATTAAATCAACCATCTAGGTGTGTGCCCCAACTGGGGATCGAACCTGCAACCTTCCAGTGCACAGACAATGCTGCAGCCAACTGAGCCAGTAGCCAGGGCTGGTTGGTTATGTTTTTTCAGGTAAACTAATTGTGGCTATATAAGCTTATTTTCCCTAAGAGACCAGTTATTTTGAGTATATGTAGATGAATACCTAATGTAGTCAATTTATATCCTAGTAATAAACTTTAGTTGATTCTGTGGTATGGAACAATTTAATCTGCATAAAGCTAACAGTTACATGTTCAGCTTAAAATGTTTTATTTTTAAGAGTATCAGTAAGAGAATAGTTCAAGGACAGAAAGAAGACAAGTAAAAGACAAATGTTAATAGCTATTGAATTATGTATCTAGTTGTTGCTAGGAAGAATGGCATTTTGA